AAGATACCCAAAAGGGGAACAGCTTTGTCAAATGGGATCTCTAGTCCTAGTTTTTTAAGGAATCTCCTCACTGATATTCAAGTGACTGCACCAGTCTATGCTCCCACCAACAGTGAATTAGGGTTCCTTTTTCCCTGCAGCCCCACGAGCATTTGTTATTTGTTGCTTTTTTTGATGGTATCCATTCTTTCAGGGGTAAGGTCGAATCCCAGCATTGTTTTAATTTGCATCTCTTGAATGATCAGTGATGTTGAACACTTTTTCATATATTTATTTGCCATTTTTATTTCTTCATCTGAACAGTGTATATTCATTTCAGATGCCCATTTTTGGATTGAATCTTTAAATTTGAGGGATCTGATTTTTTAAATTCTTATATATTCTAGATTCGAGTCCTTTTTCGAAGGGACAATTGGTAGGCAGAGATACCATGAACAAAACATAGATCACATAGGAAATACTACAACGAATCAATAACTGGGATCTCATTTTCTCAATAAGCTTTCACACACCTAAAGAAATGACCAACAGAGTGGAAAATCATCCCACAGAATGGGAAAAATTTCTACTGAAAATTTTAAGGGGTGGGGAGCTGCAGATATTCTTTGCATTTAGGAGAAATATAATTTTATTTGTTTGTTTAATTGCTCTGGAGTAATGAATATAGATGTCTAACCCTAAGGTAAAATATTACTCTAAATTATATGTTTACATGTTATATACATTTAATAAAAATAACTTCCTTAAAGAAAACTTGGCGAAATTTCCCTCATCTTGATAAAATGCATGGACCAATGAAATAATTTAAGGTGCCTCCTTCTGTGTTCAGGTATACAATTTAGGAATCTGTTTTAAAACAGTAAGAAAAAATTTCCAAGAGATACCAAGTAATCAAGACCTTACACTGTGACCAACTTTCAAAATCCATATTAAAGTTCAACATACTGTGTTCCAATATCTTAACATAGTTACTCTATGCACTGTAAATTTTAAGTACGATTTAAAATGTGTCTTTTTATGTAAATTTGAGAAGAATGTAAAATACATCCTTATTTGAACAACGGAAACCCGAAGTTGATGACAATTTCATGGTAAAAGATTTTTCTATTGCTATATCCAGAATATTTTATACTTAGACATATGGGATTCTTGATCAGAGATTTTCAAGAGTACTACAGGCAAGTAAATAAAATCATCCTGACTGGTGTACAGTGATTTACTTCATGTTGGCCTGTGGAGCATGCCCATCTATTCCAATGGTTTTATAATATACAGACAATAAAATCTATAAGATAAATTTTCTCTACTATTGTATGTGGATTTAGATTTATGCCTGAGCTTCTGTGCCTCCCCACATCTGTCTTCACCTTCTCCAAGTTCTCTTTGACAGACGCCAGATCCAGTGCCTCTTTGGCCTATAACTGCAACCCCACACTCAAGCATATTCTCCCCACCCCTGCTCTCTCTCCTCTCTTCTCCTTCTCTTCTCTTTTCCACCCTCCCTCTCTATCTCTGCAAACTAGTTGTTACATCACCAAGTCATTGACCTTCCCTTCTTTTCCTTACTTTCCCTCTTTAATCTGTATTTGCAACTTGCATTCTTGCAGTAGACTCTAAACTTACATTCCTGTGTTTAGCTTTATATCACACTAATCCATCCATCCAACTGCTGGGTTATTCTCTCAGACTAAAAGACATTGGGGCACATTATTCCACAGGTGAAAACCATTCCTTGGCTCCTTTACTTGAAACATCAAAACAGCAATTAATGATATTTGCCATTTTATAATGAAGCTTTTTATCACATATATAACCTATTCTTATTTTAGTGATACATGTATAAATTTCATAAAACTATAAGAGCTCACATTAGAATGCTGAATTTTTCATAGTAATACTGAGGTTTAACTCTAACTCCTCATTTACAGAAAAAGATTTTTAAGCACATAGTGATAATGAAAAAGTTGTTCTTTCAGAAGTTGATACATGAATGTACACCATTTAAAATCAAGTAAAATAAATGTAGGCAAAGTACTAACCTAGGTCATGGTTTAACATTAATTCTTTCCTATGCTAAGGACGCAGGAGAATGCTAAAACAGATTGTGATACATGGGGCTAACATCAGTTCCGTATGATAGTATCTATTTCTTACCCATGATCAATTCCCTTTAAATACAAGGCAGTCATCATTTTCTGGGGGTTGCAAATCATAAAAGGTTTATGTAAGAGTCGAAAAAATCCAAGAAGCAAGTGACTGATTTACTTTCTTCCCAAGTCACCAAATTATTCCCAAGTCACCAAAACAAATGTGTAGTACTTAAAACCGAAATTGCACATACCAGTTTGAAAGTAAATCTCTTTGTCAGTGTTTGACTGAGCAAGGAAATTCCTATAGGGAAAAGTTGAGAGACAGGCATTTGCCTGAATTTCCAGTGATATGGTTTGAGAAAAGATGGGTATATTCAGGCACCAGAACTGAAAAGCAGTTATTGGTTAAATTGTAAAGCACTTGCTTTTTATGAAAAATCACTCGGACTAGACAGGAGAAGGAGTAAGCTGGGTTGGAGTTAAAAGAATAAAGTCTTTGACTTGGATCTCAGCACAAGGTGTGATTATGGCTTACTAAAATATATGCACTGAAGATTATACTGGAAAAAAAAAAAACTAAGAAAAGATCCAAGAGGAATGACTTAGAATGAGAAATGGTACCTTATTATAGCCACAGTATAACTCTGTCTCTCTCAGAGTAAAGCAATCTAGTGTTATCATTTTTTTTCCTCTTAGGTGTGTTCAAATAAGCCACTAAATTTCTAGTATGGATATTTCTATTTCTCCATTGCATTCTTCTGAAAAAAGATAGCAATCAGCGGAGTAGGAATAGGGAACAGGGCTACAGAAATGTAGCTATAATTTCTTTAAAAGTGAATTGAACTTTTAACTGACCTTATATTTATAATCATTCTATAAAATTCAAATAATTAAGTGCATTTTGACATAAGTTTGGTTTCCCTTAAAATTGGCTGAGGTGGGGCTCTGAAGTGAGAATATCTACATAGAAAGGAAAAGAGAAAGCAAAGGCCAGAAAATCCCCGTATCAAGTGAAACAAGCAAAATGGAGGAACTAAGGAAAACAAAAGGACACAAATAGCAAACTCATATGGAACGCAGAGCCTCCCTTTTCCTGTAAATATATAAAAAAAAATGGGAAAAATGTAAATAACAACTGTAGTCTGTGTGTATGTAAATCACTATTTTTGAGTGGAAGTACTTATGCAAAACAGTTTTGGGGATTTTTTTCCCTCAAAACTATTACCCCCAAATTCACTCATGCTTTAATGAATTTCATACCTTCTGAAACACTTTTCTTATCTGTCTTATGTAAGTTGGTAACACTCTTCTAACCTGATTTTCCAATACCTCTTTGATATGCTTCTGTGGTTTTATATTTGTAGATATGATAAAGCAGACACAATGAAAAATAACAAAGTAACATACATAATCCAGATAAGTAAAATGGGCTGTGAGAACATTTTTAACAGAGTAGTAGAATGTACACTGAAGGCAAAGGAGCAGGACACTACTACTTTAGATGGGTTGGTCAGGAAGAGACTCTCTGAAGGTAACTTTTGAGAACAGAATTTGATAAAACAGGGAGCAACTAATTAGCAGAGGGAATAGCCAGTCAGAGCCTCTAAATTAGTAATAATTTTGGAATGCTTGAGGTGACCTGCATTAGTGGTGCAGGAAGGCAGAGCAAACAAGGAGACAGGCTAAAAGATACAACAGTGTGGGGCATTCCTGGGCACTACAGATTTTCTATAGAACGGAACTCTTATTCTGTATTAGAAAGGCCTTAGAGGTTTCAAAATAGGCAAAGGACATAATGTATTTGATGTTTAAAAAAAAGACATTCTTGGCAGAGTGCAAAGAGAAGGGCGGCAAGATATAAAATGGAGTAATTGATGTAAAATGGAGGCACACATGAGAAGGTCCTCAGGACATGTGTAGAAGAGGACTAGGTTTAGATACATGGATAAGACAACCTGATGATGGATTATACTGGGATGGAAAATGAAAAGACAAATCAGAGTTGATACCTAGATTTTAAAAAATGTATAAGTATGAGTTTCATTTATTGTGAAAGAGAAGTTTAAGGTGAAACAGGTTGATGGTGTGGAAAATCAAAAGATTTCCTGAGAGACAGTTGCATATTGTATATTCGACAGTTCATGCTATATACAGTCAATTTGAAATGTAAAACTGGACAGGACAAAAGATATGTCAGGCAATCATTGATATATTAATCACATTTTTCTGCATGTAGAAAAAATCATTAAAATCTAATTTTATTTTTATCTGTAAAATAATTAAAAATACTTTTTCTCTTTTAATTTTACTTCAAAGTGTATTCTTTTTTGTCTTTGAAAAAATGCAATCTTATTGCTTGGACATCAAGTTCAATCCTGACTTTGTGATTGAACAGGGATGATATTCAAGATTCCTAACTACATGAATGAATTCTATTCCTTTTCTACTCGAAAAATTTTACTTCCTTTCCATTGCCTCTCTTTTCCCCGGAAAAATAAAAAGTAGGAAAAAATGAATCAACTTCTCAGAATAAAACCTATAAATAAACCCTCCCAAAGTTATTTTGCTTAGCATACTATGTCTAGAAAAATACATACAATTTCAAATTAAATAAAGTTAAATGTGAAGAATAGGTAACATTTGCCTGGCTGTGCTGGGATTGGTGGAGGTAATCTGTATTACAAAGGAAACCCGATCTCACGTTTCTAAATTTGTAGAGACCTTTGTTGCCTACAAGTAAAGCAATATGTGAACAAGAAAACACTACAAATTAGAATCATTCAAACACTATAAGTGGTTAAAGAAGAGATAAGTATCATGGCAATTCTGATTTTTGAAAATTGAGATCATATTCAGAGAGGCGCAGAGACCAGAACAATGACGTTAAATCCCCAGCAGAGCACGGCTTACCAAGCGGTTGGCCTGCGATGATCCTGGCATTTTCTCCCGCCACTGCAGCTCTTGCATGTCGCTCACTCATGTACTGTACGAATGCATAACCTTTGTGAACCGAGCATCCGACTATTTTCCCATACTTTGAAAAAATGGCTTCGATGTCAACTTTCTTGACGATGGCTGTATTTAAATTGCCGATGAAAACACGGGAGTTGATGGATTTGGGGTCATTCTTATTGGTGACGTTGCTGGTCTGTGTTTTGCCAGTCATGGTTGGCTCACCTTGTTTTAATCCTTAAACAAAACAAAAAACCCACAAACAATGAGAAAGTAAGTAGTTATGTATTCAGTAGATATCATAGTTTTTAACATTTTTCGGTATTATACTCAGAAAATCTCAAATTTTGTGTCACTGATTGTCTTGAGAAAATTGAATAACATAAAAGGTACTCAGTGCATGGCTAAATGAAGTAGAAAATACTCATGATACTTGACTTAGAGTTTTAAATACATTCTTGACTTATTTAACCAGAATTCACACTTGAATAATGACTAAACATTTTATAATTATTTTTATTTTTAAGTATAATGATTTTTGCAAGAGCAAGTACAAAGAATAAGCAGCATTTTTCCATGAACAAAGATCACAAAAAGTCCACATGGCTAAGGTGTGATGATAGGTGGAACACTGCAAAAACACCTCCATTTACTTTCTGAGTACATGCATTTGTATTTCTACATTTTTCTAGAATAGGTAGAAAATACATATTTATTTGTTTCAATATCTGAACCCTACTTTCAGAAACCAACGATTGATTCCATTAAAGGCTGTGGAAAAGAAAAATAAAGATATTTAAGTCAGATGTTCCATAAGAAAATTTAGTATTAGCACAACTTTGAAGAAAGAGATTTAACTGGAATCACTATATAGATATCATTTAATTGAGTCAATACGTCAGTTGAAAAAAAACGCACATGTAGCCAGTGTTCATCAGTGATTCGCAATTATAGGTAACTGCTGAAATTTAATTCTCAAATTCATTTATTTACTCCTTTAATAAAAGACTCCTATGTTACCTGAGGACTGCTAGAATTTTTAAAACTATTTTCTAAGTCTGAGAGAATGCTAAGAGTGCTTAAACTTAATGAAATATTGTAGAGCTACAGATTTATGTTTAAGAGCTTAAAAATTCTTTAGCAATATGTATTAAATTGTATATTTTGCCAGTATCATCTTCTATAGTACCTATTAATCTAAAGCAGCCATTAATTTGAAACTAAAATTTCAACAAGGTTATACTCTCTGACGTTGACGCTGATTGTGGAACATTGGCTAATTGGTGCACTTTGTCAGTGCAATTACATATTAATGTGAACTCAGTTGTTTAAAATATTATAGCTATTAACATAGTAAAGGCATCTGATTTTTAGGAATCATCCTAAATGACATTTCTAAATTAAATAGTAAGGTGGGAGAAGACCTAAAGGCATATAAATTGAATCTGCATGAAATTTTACTCATTATCCGTTTAATTCAGAAATAAAGGCAACAAAAATGTTTCAAATTAAGTTGTTTATTATTACAGTGGCATTATTAAAGTTTCACTTCAAAGCTGCAGGCATTTTCCTACAAAGAACTGTAAGTTTTTCTTTCTTATGTCAGAGTACTCACTGTATATGCATAACACATTTTCTTTATCTATTTATCTGTTGATGGACATAGTTTTTTCCAACATGTAACTATTGATTTATGCTGCTATAAACAAATGTATGCAAAACTTAATGTATAAATAACTATGAAGTAAAACACAGATAACAGGAAAAAAGAGAAAAAGAAAGAAGTTATTGTATTCCAGCATGGACAAGATATCCAAAAGTGCACCTTGGGGCTGGGGATTTAGCTCAGTGGCAAAGCACCTGCCTGGCAAGTGCAAGGTCATGAGTTCGGTTCC